CACATTTACACAATTTACACAGAGGAATTGCCACCACGTGCATTGAGGCCACCCTTCAGAAGTCATGTGAGCACAAGGATGAGGTAAGGCTTAAAAACCAGATTAAAAGACTAAAGGATGCTGGATATCCCAACAGCACCATCACACCCGTGTGCTAAACCCTCCTGCAGAAAGTCAAGTTAAACAAAACAGGACCAAAATAAAAACAGAATGACCAAAGATCTTTGCATGCTATACCGTACGTACATAAGGTGTTTCACAATATAAAGAAAATAGCGAGCCGATATGATTTTATCTTGTTATTTGCCATCCCTTGCAAGTTTTCAAAAGTGTGTGTACTAAAAAGCAACAGGAATAGCCATTATTTCACCATTCGTCACGAGAATAGGTATACTGAATGCCAATATAATGTTGTGTATGAGATACTATTGACACGTGGAAACGTAAACATATGACAAACTGGGCAATGCCCCAATGTTTGAGCAAGACAGCATGCTTAAAATATTAGGAATGGCTATGGTAGTCGCATGGCCATACACTGTAAAGAATGTAAGTGCAGTTCTATGTTTCATAAAACACTGTTTTTGAAAAAAGCAAGAACAAGAATCGAAACAGAGACTGTGAAAGCATTTTCTTGTCAGGAAGGCCATGGATCAGTGCATCAGTATACCTTCACTCATCCATTCGGAGAGAGAGTATTCTTTTCTCAGTGAAGATTATATTATCATGGTCTCACATGTGTCGTTGTGCATGAGCACTGTTCTTGTACTCTGTAAAAAAGTGGGCGTAGTACCTTCAAAAAAATTTAGTTGGCAGTCAGCGCTCTTTCCTGTCCTTTTTGTCTCTTCCTGAACTTCTCTCACTGTTACTAGAACACAACCACGATGAACCAACTTGCCCAGATTAAGCTATGGTTGACGAAAAGTCAGAGCATGAAAATACTTCAGGGGCTCAGAACCTCCTCACTACCCGTCTAGTTACGGCCCTGGTCTATGTGTTCCGAGAGTGAAGCACTAGTGGAGCTATCTAACTACCTAACGGTGAGGAGGGTTTGTGTATACTCGAGCTTGTTTCATGACATGGTGAGAGGTGGCAGGTTGTTGAAATAATATGCTGTGTGGGAGGTCAAGATTTTGATTGAGAACGCTGAGTATGAGCCAGTGACATTAGGCGTTCAAGACTTTTTGCGATATTCACTCTAGCATAGGACTTTGGTTGGTGGTTGACGTGTGCATTTGATCACATTGTAGTCTTCCATCATAACTTTTTTGCCACTTGGTGTCGACGCTCTTGAGTTGTACCAAAGTAATTAAGCATCCAGTTACAAGTATCTTCTGTCAGTGTTTCAATAAAGAGCTGAATATGAGTAATAGCTTCCATCGATACTTCTGGCTTTGGTGTATGCACATTTCTTTTGAAGTTCTCTTGTAAAAAAGGCATTAAAGGTATGTTTTTGTGACTTTTTAGTGTTGGCCAGAACTGCTGGTGTGTCCGAACGGCTCTTCGATTGGTTGTGGTGTTGTCTTGTTCAGGGCCACAGAGCTTTCAGTCTTTTTTTATATTTGCCTTAACAGGAATGCTCTTTGCATACTTCTTCAGTACTTTGTATTATTCCTAAAGCATTGACTTCCAGATTTTGATTGTGGTGCTTTAATCTAGTGTTCAACTTCACGCTAGCTTCATTTGCACGCAAAGCAAGAACTCAGGAGTATGGTAACTTTTGCTATGGGTTTTCCCTTCTTCAGTCTACTGTATTTTTGCCTGTGTTGTCTAAGCGCTGACAGCCTCGTGCGACAGCTTTTTTTTTTTGTGCACTTATTGTGTGCCAATGACTTATTTGCCTCCTCAGCTAAAGACTTTTTGTATTATAAGAGAAAGCTCTGTCTGTATTGCTTTTGTCATTTGCTGATGGTGTATCTTCAGTATCTTTTCTCAGTGTACACTATACTTGAATGGAAGAGCAGCATGACTACCTTCAGCTGTTAGCAGGCTTTTAGCTGCTGTAATACTGATTGATGCTCCTTTCTCGGGCGTTCTATTTTGGATGGTTGGCATGTCATTGCTTCTTTTAAACTTTAAAACTGCAGGTGCACCTTTTTCTGGTTACACCTGGTATATTCTTCCAGTGGTTATATATATATATATATATATATATATATATATATATTGCTAACTTGAGAAACAAGGCCTCTTTACGTTAAGTGCACATCATGTGGGAAGAGTACTTCTATTACTTGCCAAGATTGTGGCCCCTTATGGTGGGAATCATAATGCACTGTTGGTGTGTCAAATTCACATAGCACAATTCCAAGGCACTCGATCAATATCCAAGGAAGAAAATTATGTTCTTTTGCGTGAGTTTCAGCAACTCATAGTAATTTGTATGTAAATGAATACTTCATCATTCTTGGCTGTCATGTTTTATGGAAGCACATGTGCTTCGTTAATAACAAAAAAAAACACGCACGCTCACGCCACTGCAATGGCGTGAGCGTGCGTGTTTTTTTTGTTATTAACGATTTGCCCTATGCATTCACGTTTCTTCTTTTTTTGTGTGTCGTACTTCTCGTATCGCGCAGCCTACCGTTTTGGGCATACGTAAAAAAAAGTACATAAAAAAGATGCATTCCACGCCGAAATTCACGTTCGCAACGAGCTGGGCACCGACAGGGTGCCCTACGACGCCCACACACTCCGCAACACCTTACCAACCGTTCGCTGCGATGTTGTTGGGAATTCGTGTGGTCGTTGCATGAATATAGCGCGTGCGTGCGTGCGCACGCGCGTCTGTGTGTTAGATCACGGCAACTGCATATGTTCTATGATTCAGTCACCATAACGCAACTGACGACCCCCGCTCTTCCCACACGTCAAGCAGCAGCAAGTGCCGTTAACCGTACTGTGCTGTGAACGCAAAACAGATTCGAATAGGTCGCGTAGATAGCTAGCCCGACACATGATACGATAAGATTTGCGTCAGATATTCGACGTCTACATGCACGCGTAAGACAGCGGTATCCGCAGCAGCTTCATCATACGTACGGATAGCACCGCATTGGACGTCACGTCTGACAGAGAAACTTGATCGGTAATTTTTTCTCACTTAAAAAGTCTACCTTGCACAACTTCAACCAACGATTATGCATTTCGACGAGCTGTGCATGGTTTAATGATTGATTGATTGATATGTGGGGTTTAACGTCCCAAAACCACCATATGATTATGAGAGACGCCGTAGTGGAGGGCTCCGGAAATTTCGACCACCTGGGGTTCTTTAACGTGCACCCAAATCTGAGCACACGGGCCTACAACATTTCCGCCTCCATCGGAAATGCAGCCGCCGCAGCCGGGATTCGAACCCGCAGCCTGCGGGTCAGCAGCCGAGTACCTTAGCCACTAGACCGCCGCGGCGGGGCATGGTTTAATGACGAAAAGATAGTTCTAATATTGTGCCCGGCACGTATATTACTCTCTCTCTAACTTGAAAAATCGGCGCGTGAATTGGGGCCAGAACAGCGCCAAAAAGCAGCACACGCAGAAATTGGCTCATATTCTAATATTATGACATCGTGATGTTGACTTTTCAGCTGACGCCGGCAATAACGTTCAAACGGCGGGCCAATAATGCCGGTCTTATTGGATGGCTCCGCCCATATTGGCTGCTACTTGTACAACCTGGCCCGATGTGTCCGTTCTAATAGGCCGGCACAGCCTATATGGGCGGAAAGTACTGAAAGCTGGCCCAATATAACCAATCTAATAGACTGGCACAGCCATCATTGGCGGAATGTTGTTAATGCTGGTCCAACATAGCCATTCTATTCGGCTGGCAGAACCAATATTGGGGGTACGTTGTCAACGCTGGTCCAACGTCGCCGTTCTATTTGGCTGGCATAGCCAATCTTGGCGGTACGTTGTGAAAACTGGGCCGTTCATGGGCCAGGCAATGCCGATCTATCCCCAATATTGGGCCAACCTTCTGTGCTGCCTGGGATATTTACCTTATAGTAAAGCAGCCTAAAGCTATGTGATCACGGTGAAATGACGTCATCGAAGCTGCCATCTCGGCGAACCTGCCATCTTTGCGATTTTCGCGCGTTATGGATGCATGAAGTTGCGTCCATGACGTCACGCGCGAGTCATCTATATATGGGCAACAAAAAATATATGTGGGTTGTAATCAGATTTTTCTAAATATACCCTAGATGGAGCTCTGGCGCTAGTGTCTATGGGAGCTGCAACACATGGTGCTTCAGCGAGCATGGGAATTATGGTTATGACATGGACTTGCCCAGTCTTCGTACTGCGTGGCTTGAAGTTGCTTTGTCACGAAACAACAATCGGCAAATATTTGGCAGTTTCGCTTCAGCACCTTAATCCTTTAGGCTCAGCACTTCGAGTAAGGTGACAAAGTGGAAAACGGTTTGTTTTTTCCTTCGAAACAACACAGTAACAAACGAAGCCACAAGTGCAATTCGCCGCCCACAAGCACAAAAAATAGGCAAATTCATGTCATACCCATAATTCATATGGTCGCTGAACGATCGTAGCGCCAGTGTTTCCTCTAGTTAACTTTAGGAAATTCTATAATATAGCCATTATTCCGACATTTCAGAACTTTGTCCGGACTGCAACAATCACAGTGATTTTAACCACACGCTCTGGAGGTGTACTTCATTACAAAGAACAAAAAATCAAGAATATTCCGAAAATTCCTTTCATTTAATGCTCACAAGTACGGTCCTCCTACAGCCACTCAAGGCTGTCCACCAGTCCCGTGATGTGGCGGTGAGGCTAGGCCTCCCCGTCCTTACTCGGAAGTGGCCCGCGATCCTGCCCCTATAAAACAGGGGTGGAATCTTTCAGGACCCCAATAAAACTTTTCATGAAACCATTCATCTATTTATGGTACTAACAACCCCCTTCGATTACTTCGGTTCACCGTAACTTGAAGAAAAAAATTGATTCGGCAGCTGGACGCCGTTTCGTCCTTCGACTGGATGGACCAGAACACGCGCGTGAAGGCTGCGGTCAAGGTGAAGACTGTAACCCTGCGTACCGTTAAGAGCACCACCCGGGAGGTGAACGCCGACGAAGAGAAGATGTCCGGCGACTTCATGGCCAACTACGTGGCCATAGCGCGCTACAACAAGAAGCGCGCCAACCGCTACCCGGAGCCCAGCACCAAGCACCAGGAGAACCTTGACCTGATCATCGGGAACGTGAAGGTCGACTACGAACAGAACGTCATCAGTGTGCCCGCCAGAGACCTGCTGGAGCCGGTTTTCTTCGAGCAGGTGAGTTGTTACGCACTTCTAGTAATGGTCGTTAGTCTTTAAACAATTATATTAAAAAAAAACGGCTGCGCCTACATGGGCGGTGGTCGAGTTGTCTAGAGTGCCTCGATGCCCGCTTCTCCGTGCGTGCGCCGAGGCACCCTAGAGTTGTATAACACGGTGCTGCGGAGCGAAGGGTCACTGGTTCGTATCCCTGGTCGGCTGCTTCGGGAATTTATACTTCGGACAATTTATATATATATATATATATATATATATATATATATATAAACGAGGGTCTCGTACTGGCAGAATTGGTGCCTCTAGGCTCTAGGTTGTATACGGTGGAGTATTGGTCAGCTGTCGATTAGTAATAAGTTCACGTGCTACGTGACGCCAAACAGGCTCATAAAGAGTGTACCACACTCGCCGCCATGGCTACTAGTGGCGCTGACTGACACTCCCACGTTTAAATTGACATAGATACCCAATAAAGTGGATGGTTGGATGGCTGTCGTGGTAGCTCAGTGGTAGAGCATCGAACGCGTTATTCGAAGCTCGCAAGTTCGGATCCTGCCCCCGGCAAGTTATCTTTTCACCCGCTTTTCTTTCTTCTCATATACATTACAATTGGCCTAATAACTTCCCCTATACCTTCCTTGGCATTAGTGTCTGTTAGATCTCATTAATATTGTGTAAAATACGAAAAACGAGCCGTTAAGTATACACTTGTTTCCCTTATATATGTATATATATATATATATATATATATATATATATATATATATATATATATATATATATATATATATATATATATAGCCATGAAATGAAGGAGCACACTTACGAGAATTGGATATTTTATACTTTACGTTTCGGCCGTAACATGGCCTTCGTGGGGATGAACAGAAATATGACTATGTGGCCGTTTTTATGGGCAGGCATGAACACATGAGTACAAAACACGTGCGATCAGCATATGGGTGTCACAATATTTTCAAAACAGCCACGACAACACTAAAAGAGCATTAGAAAAAAATGTAATACAGTAGACAAGATCATTGGCATGTAACATTGACCATTGACGACAATCACGCATAAAAAACAAAAAAATGTGTGATAACTTTTATGGAGTAGACAATACATTCGGGATGCTACTTTAAATATTTCGCAAAAATGCGGGCGTCAAGGCATTGTAGAAAGGCATGCCTTTTTGCCTACGCATTCGTTAATGTCGGATACCACACTACTGAATTTATGGATCAAGAAGATTCTCAAATTTCGTGATCATGGTGTAGTTGGAAGCCTTACGCTAATAACGTCACCATAATCATGTCAGACGAATGACCTGGTAAATAAAAATTCTTGGAAAATGGGAGATGTGGCAAACTGTTGACGTGTGATTTGTGGTTGTTGAAATGGATACGAAAGGATGCCTTGGTTTGACCGATGTGTTGCATGTGGCAGATTGAGCATTCAAGTAAGTAAATTATGTTGCTGCTATCGCAGTTCAAGTACCGCTTAATCTTAAGTGAGAAGTTAGATGCCATGCTTTCAGTAACAGTTGCACCACATACAAACTTTTCATCGCGGTTTGTTACAGGGGTGACAACAAACAGAAGCAATGCATCTATCTTGTCTTGGAAGAAGTAACAATGTTGCGCAAGTTCCTTGATATCTGATACACAACTCGTGGTCATTCAGTGAAAATGTCATTAAGCCGATCACACTGTGTCGATAAGTGGTAATGCTTTCTGAGTATATGTGACACGTTAGGAATACATGCAGAATGCGTTAGAACGAGGTTTGTTCGTGAGGGTGGCGCTAATCGCTTGTCCTTACTGATGAGCTCTTCACGATCGAGACATGTGGACCGCTGGAGAGCGTCGTCGATTATTTGTGAAGGATATTGTTGTTCGGTTGATGCATTACGGAGCTGGTCACAGTTGCGAGTGAATTCCCTATTGTCCGAACAAATTCTTTTAAAACGGATAGATTGGCTACAGGGGATACTTGTTTTGCAGTGTTTGACATGGCTGCTTTTAAAATGAAGATATCTTTGTCGGTCAGTGGGCTTTCTGTAAAGGTTCGTCGTTAGTTTACCATTGCTTAAAGCTACATTGACGTCAGGGAAGTTTATGCTAACTGGTGAATAAGAGTGGGAAAAGGAGTATTGGTTCTATACGTTGTTGAAGTCAGCAACGGAAGAAAGTAATGCCGCTTCACGATGGTGACAAATTAGGAAAATGTCGTCAATGAAGCATTTGTTATAAAGTGGTTTAAGGTCACGAGTGGCGAGAAGATTATTTTCTAGAATGCCCATGAAGATGCTCGCATAATTGGGACCTATTTTTGGGCCATCAAGGTGCCGCTGGTTTGAACGTATTGATCACCGTTAAATTCAAAGTTGATTGAATTCTAATGTTTTCTTTACTCTGTTAGCAATTACCTTTGTAAATAGCTTGTATACTACCGAGAGCAAGCTGATCGGCCTGTTTTCTTCAAGTCCTTGTCATCTCCTTTCTTATGTATTAAGATGATGTTAGCGTTCTTCCAAGACTCTGGTACTCTTCCCGTCAGGAGACACCTCGTAAACAGGGTGGCTAGTTTTTCTAACACAATCTGTCCTCCATCTTTCAGCAGATCTGATGTTACCTGATCCTCACCAGCAGCTTTGCCCCTTTGCATGCTCTCCAAAGCTTTTCTGACTTCTTCTATCATTACTGGTGGGGTGTAATCTGGGTTACTGCTAGTTCTTATAGTATTAAGGTCGTGGTTATCTCGGCTACTGTACAGATCCCTGTAAAACTCCTCCGCTATCTTAACTATCCTATCCATATAGGTAGTTATTTTGCCTTCTTTGTCCCTTAGTGCATACATCCGACTTTTGCCTATCCCAAGTTTCCTCTTCAATGCTTTGACACTTCCTCCGTTTTTCAGAGCGTGTTCATTTCTCTCCATGTTATACCTTCTTACATCGCATACTTTACATCTATTAATCAACTTCGAAAGCTCTGCCAGTTCTATTTTGTCTGTTGTACTTGACACTTTCATGATTTGACGCTTCTTAATTAGGTGCTTCGTTTCCTGTGAAAGTTTGCCAGTGTCCTGTCTAACTACCCTGCCTCCAACTTCCACTGCACACTCCATAATGATACTCGTCAGATTATCATTCATTGTATCTACGCTAAGGTTGGTTTCCTCACTGAGAGCCGAGTACCTGTTCTGCAGTGACACTCTGAAATCCTGTACTTTCCCTCTCAGTGCTAGCTGATTGATTGGCTTCTTGCGTATCAGTTTCTGTCGCTCCTTCTTCAAGTCTAGGCGAATTCGAGACCGTACCATTCTATGGTCACTGCATCGTACCTTGCCAATCACTTCCACATCCTGCACGATTCCAGGGTGTGCACTCATTATAAAGTCTATTTCGTTCTTATTTTCGCCATTAGGGCTCCTCCATGTCCACTTGCGGTTTTCTCGTTTTCGGTAGAAGGTATTCGAAATCCGTAAATTATTGCGTTCTGCGAATTCTACTAGTAGCTCTCCTCTGGCGTTTCTAGTACCGATGCCATAATCTCCTACTGCCTGGTCTCCAGCCTGCTTCTTCCCTACCTTTGCATTAAGGTCGCCCATCACTATAGTATACTGTGTTTTTACCTTACTCATTGCCGATTCCACGTCTTCATAGAAGCTTTCAACTGAAGCGTCATCATGGCTGGATGTAGGCGCGTAAGCCTGTACTACCTTCATCTTGTATCTTTTATTCAGTTTAATCACGATACCTACCACCCTTTCATTAATGCTATAGTATTCCTCCATGTTGCCAGCTATGTTTCTGTGAATTAGGAACCCCACTCCCAGTTCTCTTCTGTCTGCCAAGCCCCTGTAGCAAAGGACGTGCCCATTCTGTAGCACCGTATAGGCCTCATCTGTCCTCCTAACCTCACTGAGCCCTATTATATCCCATTTAACACCCTCTAGCTCCTCGAATAGTACAGCTAGACTTCCCTCACTAGATAAGGTCGAGTATCAGTGCTAAAATAGTGCCTAAGGTGGAATTGTCGATGGGTTTGTCATATACCGACTCGCTGTATGCTTGGAGTACAGAACGAATCCCGTCCGCATGGGGAATATTTGTGTACATTGACACCACATCTAGTGTGACCAAAAGAGCACCACTCGGAACACGCATATTTACAATGCCACGCAGAAAGTGGTTAGTGTCCTTGACATATCGAGAAAAGTTAGGAGGAATGGAACTACTTAAGCTGTCTACATATCAAGACAGGCTTTTCGTGATGGTTCCTATTCCTGAAATTATTGGCCGGCCTTGATTGTCTTTTTTGGGAATTTTAGGAAGCTGATAAAATCTACCAGCTAACGGACTCAGGGACACTAAGGATTTAAGCACAGTTTCTGGAATTTCATTTTCTCTTACGAGCTATCTTAAAGCTTCTTTTACTTTGGTCTTAAATTCCTCGGTCGGGTCGTAGCTCAAATGTCTCTAAAATGCGTGGTCTTTCAATTGTCTTTGGGCCTCACGAAGGTAATCAGCCTTATTCATTATTACGATTGCTCCATTTTTATCAGCTGGTTTGATGACGATGTCGTCTCGGCAAGCCAGGGTGTGGACCGCTTGTTTTTCTTTGTCGCTTAGGTTGCGGTGAAGTGGCGATTGCTTTTTGTATGCTTCGAGTACATGTCGCTGCACTGTTAGAATGTAAATATCAAGACATTTATTCCTTTGGGAAGGGTGAGTCAAATGCTTAGTAGTAAAACACGCAGTTTTTATATAAGGAGGCCGATTATCAAAGTATTCGCGTAAACGCATGACTCTTTCGAAATTGTGTAAGCCACTGATTAGTGGGAATTCATTGTATCCTCCAGTGGCAGGACGAAAGTTCAAACCGCGGGAAAGAACACTCAATTCCTCAGCTGATAACGTGGCACTAGAGATATTTACTATTTTTCCAGCTTCTGTGGAGGACGAATGCACTGAAGACGTTGCGTCATCAGGAGTG